TTCTTAATATTTCATGGCTAAAAATAAGATCTATTTAGAGTAAAATTGACTGTTAGGGGTTGGAGATACAGCTCAGTTGGTACAGTGCTTGCCTTGTATGCACAAGGCCCTGGGTTCGATCCCCAGCACCACACAAAAAATTTGACTTTCAGAAAATTTCAGTTTATTTTTGCGTTATTTAGCTTTCTGTTGCCATGATAAAATACCTAAAACTTAAAGGAAAAAAAAATTTTTTAATGGTTTCCATCCATGGTCTGTTGGCTCTACAGAAGCACAGTATATCATGGGGGAACATGTGGAAGAGGAAGCCTGTTCACCTCATAGTGGCCAAAAAGCACTCAGGGAGACAGGAAGGCATCAGGGTTGCAATATTCTCTTGAAGGGCATGCCCCCAATAACACAACTTTCTCCAATAGGCCCACCTCTTAAAGGTTCAATCATTTCCCAACAGTGCCACAAGCTTGCCATCAATTCTTCATTTAACATTGGGGTCTTTGGGTAACATTTCCACATCATAAGAACTTTATTAAGTTGTCCTATTAAAGATTTGCAGGGTAAACTGCCAATTTAAAATTCTAAATAGTGAGGCATCAAATACCAGTGGCATAAAGAATCAACTTGAATAGCCAGCCTAAGGATATGAAAAACTGAAGGAAAAAAAATTAATAAATTGAAATCCAGATATTCTTTGATATTAATGTTCTCCTAAACTTTTAAATGTGGGTTCTAAAATTTGACTAGTGGTAATTTGACTAGTCACTGGAAAATCATGGCATTCTTTGTAGTAAATACTATTAAATATTTCAAAACTTCATTTTCATTAATTAACTACAAATAATCTCACTATCATAGAAGATATTTTAAAGAAACTTGTTTTAATGATATGTCAAGAGCTATGTAATGTTTTGAACAACTAATAATAAAAAAAGAAAGAAACTTGTTTTAATAACCAAAATAAGCATAAATTTATTTGCTGAAGATAAAAGGAAGAGTGAAACTAATAATTTAGGCCAAGTCAGGCCTCTAAAACGTGAATATATATTTAAATTCCTTGATCAATTTATTTCTCTTTTTTACATGGAGATTAATTTAAAAACTCAAGTTTCAGAACAGTAGGTAAGGGCAAGTTTACATCAAATGTCCAGGTGACTTACTGTATGTATGCACAAAGCTTGAAATCCCTATTCACTAGAGTTTATTATATTTGCATATGTAAGTTTCTATTTAAATCAGGTCTAAGGTATAAAATTCTGCCTTGTTTAGTTTTCCTAAGAAAACATCCAAAATAACTTCATAAATAAGAAATTCCCTATTACTTTTCTTTGAATTCATATAGAAACTGAGAAATTGTTCATGGAGGGAAAAAAAAGAGTTCATCATTTTTACACTAAAATCAAAAATTTTATGGCTCTGATTTTGCTTAAAGCAGAAATATAGCTATTATTTAAACCAAAAAGCTCAGATTTAACTCAATCATTCTGTTAAACATATACATGTCAAACGTATAAGGTTTTGAGGATAAAGAACACATGATATTTGATTAAGCACTAATTCCTAAAAATAGCAGTTACTAGAACAATGAGAAACAGGGCATACTGTAAACTTTTCCTATGTTCATAAATTAGAGAACAATATTTAACTTTAAGGACCTGTATGTATTTACTAAATTAAAAGTAATTAATCTTATCAGGTTTATATGATATCCTCTTTACCAAATGCTGATATTAGCTGGTATCCTTGTGAACACCCTTCACCACTAATCTAACTGCCAAATAAGCAATTTATTTTTTTCTTTTTGGCACATACCTTTCTCCCAGAAAACATTCCCACTTAAAACAAAAATTATTCACGATAATTAAATTTCCTCATGAGTGATGCAGACAGTGATTTATATAAGACTAAATTTCCTACACAAATGAATTAAAAATAGATTTCCAGGGGCTGGGATTATGGCTCAGCAGTAGAGCGCTTGCCTAGCACATGCGAGGCCCTGGGTTCAATCTTCAGCATCACATAATAATAAATAAAATAAAGATATTGTGTCCAACTACAACTAAAAAAATAAATATTTTAAAAAACAGATTTCCAGTTGTCTAGTACATGATAATTATATTACATTTGTATTGAAAGAAAAACAGATTTTATATCACTTACCCTACCATCAATTACTTACTGCCCCACTGATAAAAACATTCTGATTTTTTTTTTCAGTACTTCCAGTCAGTCTTATTACATTTATACTACATATAATTCAACCACTGATAGTATTTTCTAGACTGCTTTAATGACATGTTAATGTTTTATTGCTAACTTAATAACATTTCTAAACCTTATCTATTTTCCTACATGGGAAATAGTTGTCGCTTTTTACTAAGTAGCTTTTGAGAGCAGGCACATTTAATGTTTCCTGAATTAGGAAGTACTTTTTCTTTATCCTTAGTACTTTATAGGACTACCAACAATGATGACATTGAATGGTGGATTGGTGGATTTTCTGCTTTATCTCCAGTTTCCCTATTTATGAAAGTCAATGTCTTTAAGTTCTTTTTTTTATTTTTTAAGATTTATGTATCCAAAAATGCAATATAAAGAATAAAAATAGTTCAAAATGGAAAAAGTGAAGAAAAAGAAAAGGTAAAACTATTTCTGAGTTTTTTGTTAGCCATCAAAATTTTAAATCTTTCATCCAAAATCAAACTTGAAAAATATACCATCTCTTTACTTAATTTGGAAAAAATGAATCCAATATATTATCATTATTTAATTATGACAGTATTTAATATATGAATGCTACTATGCCACATTTTTTGGGCACAAATTTCACAAATAAATAAAAATCATTCATTTATAAAAATCACTCTCTAGGGCTGGGGTTGTGGCTTAGTGGTAGAATGCTTGCCTAGCACGTGCGTGGCACTAGTTCGATCCTCAGTACCACATAAAAAATAAATAAATAAAGGTATTGTTTCTAACTACAACTAAAAAATAAATATTAAAAAAAAATCACTCTCTAAAAGCAACTATGCCATTAAAATAAACACTAAAAGAGAAATGGGGACAAACACACTTAACATATGATCATTATAGACCTATTTATCATTTTAGAATCTATGATTTAGTGGAATTCCAGGAATACTACCTAGAACACCAAGAGAAAGCATTCCAATGATGAATATTGCAAATGACATATTAAAAATGCTGGAGAAGAGCCAAATAAGGCTGTTTGCTTAGAAATTTATAAAGGAGATGAAATGGGGTTAAAAAATGACATCTGGGGGCTGGGTTTGTGGCTCAGTGGTAGAGTGCTTGCCTTGCATGGGTGAGGCACTGGGTTTGATCCTCAGCACCACATAAGAATAAATAAAATAAAGATATTGTGTGCATCTATAACTAAAAAAATATTTTTTAAAAAAGTATATGACATCTGTGCTTATAAGTCAGTCAAGAAGATAAATGATACCTCTTTCTTTTTTATTCTGGAAATTGAATTCAGAGGTGCTTTGCAACAGCTATATTTGCAGTATTTTTATTTTTTGAGACAGGGTTTTGCTAAATTGTTGAGGGTCTTGCTAAGTTGCTAAGGCTGGCCTTGAATTTGTGATCCTCCTGCCTTAGACTCATGAGTTGTTAGAATTACAGGTGTGTGCCACTGTATTCAGCTTCTCTCTTTTTGAAAAGTGGACTCTTCTCCAGTCTACAGTACAAGCGCAATATCAATAAAAAATATTTCTTTTTCTAAGAGGTAAGTTGAAGAAAGGCTATACTGGCTTCTAAGGGACCAATTAATGAACCCAAGCCTGGCTTACACAGAATTCTTTAGGGATTTGCAAATATTTCCATTCTAATTTTCCAGAGATAAAAATATGAAGGGAAAAAAATTAGAAAAGAAAATGACCTATGGCATTTGGCTACCTTTGCAAACTAGCCCATTATTAACTATTTTCATATTTAAATGACCCTTTCTCCCCCAAGAACTCTCACTACTTATGAGTAGAATGGCCAATCTTTTATGACCAAAATGTTACCTACCAACAAACATGTGATCTGAGCCACCAATGCAATGTGTAGATAATGTAAGGAAAGCATCTGAAGCACTAGTTTTCATTTAAAAAGGCCATGTCTCAACACCATCAGGAACAAGAACAGAAACAGTTTAAGATTTCTTTAGAGATAGAGTTAGCTCAAGGAATGGATAGAAATGAATCTTTTTGGTAACTCATTTTAGGGTATGAAATACTTTTAGGAAGTAAGCATCTGTGTATTTAACATGACTTTGATCTATGAGTTTTTCTAGATATATGATTTTAGCTAGCCTGTTAGAATTATAAAATTTATAAATTCTCAAAAATTAAATGAATCAGGAGAAAAATGTTTCTTATTCTAAGAAAGAGGACTGCAAATGCATATATGAAAGGAAGAAAAAGGGACTGCCTTCTGGTGTTTACTCCTTCCTGAAGTTTTAATAGCAAAATGTAAAACTCCTAACAAAAAAGTCTCAAGTATAATTGAATGCAATGTAAGAACAAATTTAAAAAAATTTCAAGTGAAGAGGCTATTCTCTCAATTTATAAAATCATAAGATCAATAAACCTGGATAATGACAATAAAAAAGACCACTACTTAAGGCTAGGATTGTGACTCAGTGGTATAGCGCTTGCCTAGCACATGTGAGGCACTGGGGGTTGATCCTCAGTACCACATAAAAATAAATATATAAAATAAAGTTATTAAAAAACCAAACATTACTTATTTGTAAATTCCTTTGAAGGGAAAAGATTTTAACTGTGACTCTCAGAGATGACAGAAAACTTACCCAAGGCAACATCCTTGCTCCAAATTATATTAAACTAACATCAAACCTTAATGTGTAGAGGACTAAGGGGGAGAGTAAAAAGTAAACATTCTAGGATGAATAGAAAAAAAGGATCAGAAACAAACCTAAATATGATACCAAACTAACTTTTATAGCAATGGTACATGGGCTCAGAATTAATACTCACAAAGTAAGAATTCCTGGGCTAGTAGGGGGCTGTTTTATTGTGGTCTTCATTTTGTCATTATTAAACCTAGGGAAAAAATAAGAGTAAACTTTAAAAATTTGATCACAGAAATTAGAACATTTAACTGACATTGTTGACAGTCATTGTTTTCTGAACACTTAACTGAGGTTAACAGTCATTGTTTTCTGATCTTCTTATATCAGAGAAAAATCAGATTATAAATACCCAGAAGCAACATTTCTCTATTTCAATCCCATGCACTGTAATTAGTTTTTAAAATTTGTTTTTCTATTACTTTACCTTTTAGAAGTTTAAAAGTCAAAGTCTAACTTAGAGCATGATGAGCTTCTGGAGGACGTCATATAATTGCAGGTATTTTAAGTTAATGCACGATCATATCCTGAGATTTCACACACACATTTGCAAAATCTACAGTCTATATATTGCCAATTCAAGAATTATATTGTTATGTAATATATAAATAGAGTATAAATACAAAACTTTCCAGTTTTGTATTTATACTCTATTTAAGTAAGCTGGAAACTGAAATTATATTATGATGCTATGAGTAAAACTAAAGAAAATACAGTTGTGAAATTGCCTAGATCAAAGAGTAAATGAAAGGGTAATGATAAGAAGAAATTGTTTCCATGGTGTCATTACTTGCCATTGTTTCCTAAGATGTAACCCCTACTTGATTTTTTTTTTTTTTTTGTACTGGGGATTGAACTCAAGGGCCCTCTACCACTGAGCCACATCACCAGCCCTATTTTGTATTTTATTTAGCAACAGGGTCTCACCGAGTTGGTTAGCACCTCGTCTTTGCTGAGGCTGGCTTTGAACTTGAAAACTGCTGGGATTACAGGTGTGCGCCACCATGTCTGGCCCAACTTAATTTTGATGTATCTTCTATGCATGTTTTTGTACTATTACTACAAATTCTGCTCCTTAAAAGCTTATATACATGGTGTCATATGGACGTCTGATCTTTTATTGGTTAGCACCAATCAATAATGTTATACCGAATATAACTTCTCCATAAAGTAGTTTTTGTTTGTGTAAGAAGGTTATCCATGATGATACACATAGCTCTCATTTTAATAGCTATATATTTCACCATGAGACTGTGTCATAATTTACCATTCTCTTGTTGCTTAGTATTTTTACTGGTTTCAAAAATTTTTTTCCTATAAAACATAAATAAGATTCTTCTTTTTCCATATGTCTGAGTTTATCTAGAGCATCTAGGAACGTATTGAGTTCAAGTCTACTGTATTTTAAACTTTACTATAATTAAATTCTTCCACAATAGCATATGAAAAGTTCTCCTTTTCATATATTTACAACACTTGACAGTACATTTAAGAAAAACAGCTACTATCTATATGAATGTTTAAAAAATTCTTATGTGATCAATTCCTTCATCTAATATATATCTTACATAAGAATACTAAAAATTCCAAACAAATATAATAGACTAAAATTTGGCCAGAGGCACTTGCAAAAAATAAAGCTCGGATAATGCGTTTTTCCTCATGATTGAGGAAATACCAATACTATTGTTACAAAAATGATTATTAATTAAATACTGAGTTTAGTCAGATCCAAAATGACCAAAGAGGAAAAAATGCAAGAGAAGTAAATGGTTTATTGGTGTGGATAGTCCTCCCCCTTTCATTTCAGGAAGTGTTTCTCACGTAATACTCCTAAAAAGAAGAAAAAGCTCTCTTTAAGCTTGTAAAACCCACAAATTCCTGAGCCCTTCTGCCAGAGGTTCTGATATAGCAGGTCTGGAAAAATGCTTTATTTCAAGTTATTCTGGTACAGGTGGTTCGCACACATTAAGTTATAACTAATGGGGAAAAAAAGGGTGTATTTCAAAATAAAGGATTACATAACTCACTTTTTGGTGAAAAGTAGGCAATAGTAACTAATATGTTCTCTGTTACATAGACATATTTTTAAAAAGCTACTCTAGCACTAACTCAGGGGGGAAAAAAAAAGTAAATCTCAATTTATGGTTGAATATGCTTGACTTCACAGTGCCAGAATAGACTGTGAGCTCATTAATTATTTCAGTTAAATAAGCACATCCTGACACAAGTTTTTTGGTACTAATACCAGAGAAATAATATTCTGAGTTTACTATTATTGGCAAAAAAAAAAAAAAAAAACAACATTAAGAGTGGGTATGATCAGGAATGATTTTTTTTTTAAAAAAAACCTTTATTTTATTTATTGTTATGTGGTGCTGAGGCTTGAACCCAGCACCTCCCACATGTTAGTCGAGTGCTCTATGCTGAGCCCTAGCCCTAGCCCCAGCCCCAGCCCCTGATCAGGAATGATTTTAATGAAGATGACCAGGAAGAAATTATGGTTACTTTTAAAAAATAATTCTATTGCACATGGCAGGCTTCAAATTGGGACATTAGGCTTTTACACTAAGACAAAATGTTACCTGTAGTTTCCTACCAACAATTTTACAAGTGAAATCAGAACCTTAATAGAAGTCCAATATTTATTTTCTTGCAACTATAATCTATTGGAACCATTTAGATGTAAAAAAGGAAAAAATATTTTAATATTTAGGTTAAGGAAGGTCTGACTTTGTATAAATTCAAATTGTAAAATTGAGAACACCTTTTTATATTATTTGAAATTAAATTTAGATTTAATAAAAAAGATTTAGAATATGGCATGACATTATTGTAATAATGAGACATAGCAAACCTTGTAATAGAAATAGAAAAATTTAATAATGAGAAAAAATGAGAAGTTTTCACCTGTGGTCTGCCTTGTATCTAGTTATTTACAACATTAAGTAATATAGGATTTTTTAAAATTATAGCAAAATCAATAAGAATTTAACCTTGTTTAGAGTATGCTATAAAACAAAGACAATACAGGCTCAGAATATGGCCCCAAAGTGAAAGATACACTCTTGTGTGCCATAGTCAACTTTCCTTTCTTTTTCGTAACTTGTGGTATCAGCAACTAATTATTATTTTTTTCCAGTATATCAGTTAAAAAGTGAAAAGCATGAAACATACTATATATACTTCTGGAAGTCAGTATTCCATTCTAAACAAATGAAATTATCTAAATTAAAACAAAATGAACTAAACCCACACAGTAAATAGTAAAAAATAATAGCCTAAGAACTATAGCATCTTCTCTTTATGAGGCATTGGGAAGAAAATATCTTTCTGTCAAAGAATATATTCTACAAATTATATATGGGTACAGAGACAGTTGTGTCCTTCCACCTGGCCTGTAAAAAATGATGGGTGCAGGCTTCTTTGACGATCATTTCTGCATATTGATGCTATTCTGTAGAACAGCTGACAGGCAGCAGCAATCTCCTAGCCCTTGCTCCCAGCTGGAACGGGCAAGAACAAGGGATGTGGTAGTAATACTTGTTTGTTCACTGTTGCTGCTTCTGCTGCTTAAGCAGCAAGTTGACAAAATTGCATGCAACTAATACAGAGGGAAAAAAAAAAACTGGTTCAGGCTAAACCTACTTACCAAGTTTGCTTATAGCACTAGACAAATTGTTTTTTAAAAAATATATTTTTTTCCTTAAAAAGAGATAGAAAGTGAAGAAAAGACAAAATTCATGTTTTGGTTAGAAAGAGAATTTATAATATCTAAGGAAAAAATAAATAATAATATTCAGCTCCTTAGTTTAGATTTAACTGCTCAATTAACAAATTCTCTGAAAGAGTTTTTAGCCATTTGTCAGGGTGAATGCATAAAGAGAGTACCCTCCCTAACTATTCCCTAGGAAATAAAGTGTTCAAACTTCAATCAAGAAATGAAATTATATTTTGTTTATAAAATGCCACTAGCTCCCTTCTAGGTACCACATATCTAATCACCACCATGTGTTTGACTTTAGACACTATTAGCAAAGAATAAGTTTAGCCATAAAGATTTAACAAAAATTCCCAACAATTAAAAAAAAAATTTCCACAAGCAATTTATCTACTTTAAATGGGTAATATAGAACTAAAAACTTGGTAAGTACATAGCAGCAAATAATGAAAAACAGAAATAGAAATATTTATTCTGTTAAATTACCTTTAAATACAATATGCTACTTATAGACCTATATATAAACTTAAGTTTAAATGAGAGTCATCTTTTAGCACCGTAAGCAATTTTTAATTCAGAAAAATATAAAGTCAAAAAAATCTGGACAATATTATAAAACAAACAAATCTATACAGAATTGGCTGGCAAATTTAAATAATAAAAAAGTATGAACAGCAATGTTTTAAATTCAGATATTTTGTAAAAAACAACAGCCAACTTCAACCTTTCATTTTTATCACAATTGAAAAGTATTTTTTTTCTGCTTGGCTCAGTAAGAAATATTGTTAATGGTAAAAATAAATTTTTCTGAAGATGACAGTCTAACAAGAAAACTGCATATATTTATTTAGTATGAAAAGTTGTCAATAGAAAAAACAAAAACTAAAGAGTTTCTTAAAATTTATTTAAAAATGGAAATGAGTTATTTTCAGAAAACGCATATGAAAGATACTGCAAGTTTTTCCTCCAAGTGATTCTAACCACAAAAATAAGAAAGTAAAACCAACTTTAATAATATGCTAATGTAATTTTAAAAATGTGGTTTGTAGTGATGAGAACAGAAATTCTACCTCAACATGATATTGAATAAAAATTTAAAATCCTCACATTAATTAAATGTTTCCTTTTGAAAAATGCTGATCAGAAAATATTAATTTTGATACATTAAGTCTTATTTGAAGACAAACAATAGAAATAGGTTACGGGTGTTATTTGCAAAAACACACAAAAATACATACAAAATTGGTTCAATAAGCTTTTTAAAAATTTTAAACTAAAAAAGGTAATTATATCTATTATTTCACAAATCCTCAGCAACATTCTAAAACCTTTATCAAAGAAAAATATCGTAATTGACAAATTGCTTAAAATATTTTATATTTATACATCACAAACAATGAATAATTCCAAGTTCCTTCATCTGTAGATATGTTAAATTACATCTAGTTTATTCAAATATTCTAAAAAAACTTTTTCAGTAAGACAGAAAGAGTGACAGTATAACTGTATTTTACAATGAAGAATTTTTATTGAAAGTGAATTTTATTTAAATTCCTTAGGCATTTAACCAAAAATTTAAATAAATATTGTACAAATGAGATACAAATCTATCACTGAAAAAAAAAAATTAACACAATAAATTTCTTCACCCAAATTCTGACATAATGAACTACATCTAAGCTTAATTAGATTATCAGATTTGCCAAATCACAACAATCCAAGTTTTAAAGGGGTGGTTAGGAGAGACTCAATCACACATAAGAGTAAAAGCCAATTTTTATTAACTGCCTTCTAAAGTAACATATACTACTAATTAGGTTAAAGTTCCTTACCCTGTGAAAAGTAACCAAATATAATAAAATGGTTAATATCTACATTGATTCTTTTAATATTAAATTGTTTAAAAAGCTTATTAGTTTATAAGACAGAGTATGTAACCGTAGAAAAAATAATGATGATGCTAAATTGTTGTGTCCAAATAATAAGTTCTGACACTTTTAAAGATCACAATTCAAATTCTCTAAATTAGGAACAGCTCTGTGATTTATATCTTTATCTACAATACAAACTCATATACTCCTGAAACTCATTAAAGCCATGTCAAATATAATGGATTGAAAATTACAAATTAAACTGGTATAAACATTTTTCAGTTTCATCTTTATTCTCTCTAACCTGGAAAACACTGGTTAAGTGAGATGGGAAAATTTTATTTCTATTTGTCCAATTAAAAATAAACTGCTTCTTTATAATATTCTAAAACCAAAGGTACGAAGACATTCTTTATTTTTTATTTATCTCCAACAACCACTTTACAGTATGATGCCACCAATATAAAAGTACCAGAACTTCTAAACTGATTTTTATTAAAATGTAACATTTTATTTATTCTGTTAATATTCACATTCCTGAATTTTCTAACATCTAATAATACAAAAAAATCAAATTTCAGTTTTTGGTATTTTGATAAGTATTACAATATTCAAACATTCTTAAACACATCAGAGAATGTTTTAAAATTTTTACACTGTTTAAATTTGAAGCAGTTCTATGATCATAATCATAATTAACTTACTCTAAGACCAAATTACTTTTTCTTATAAAAACAAACTTTTGGGATTTCTTGTATCTGAAGTGTATAAAGTAAATACTTTTTACATGAAAAAATTTAAAGAAAAATTGTAGTATGTTGTATTTTAGTAACTATTTAGCAAATAGCATTAAAAAAATTTATATATATATATATATATATATATATATATGAACTAACCAAGTAATACTTAGTAAAACTGTTCACTGTTCAGTAAGTTCATTTTCACTATACCAGGTTACAATTTAGATAACAAAATTGCATTAGCTAAATACTATATGAATTTTTCAACTAACGCTGTAAAAATCAAAGAAAATAAATATGCCAGAAAAATGGTTCTGGGATAAAGTATTTTGGAGGTTAAGACAAAAGTCATTGGAGGTTTAGGTATTCTACAATTTTATTAAAGAGGTTGCAACTTTTTATATGAACAACTAATAATCAGAGTATCTATGAGTAAGATACTAGTTTCTGCTTAAGAAAGTGAGTTTTTCAGTTTCAGCCAAATTGCTACTTTTGATTAGGATAGTACTTGGAAATTTTAAATTCTCTTATTTAAAATATTCTCATTAATCTTATCTAAAACTGTCTCTCTACCTGTTAAAAAAGCCAAACACCAAATTTCATTTGACTTAAACCCTCCATTTTATAAGAAAAGTCTACTACAAATTTAATTATTATACACACTGTAATAATATTCTTGAGAAAAAAGTTATTATATATACTTATGTTGGGAATAAATAAAAGAATTAGATCTTAATACAATACCATGAGAATATAATCTATATTTAAAAATCTGGAGTTTAATAAGCAAGACAACTTAATATGGGTCACTTCACATGATAATTTCTTTTAATTCTTTATTTACTGATTTTAGTTTACCCCAAAGTTTTAATGTTACCATTTGACAAGTCCAATTACATTGCAAATATATAAAATTATATGCTTTTAAAATATGTTATTATACCTTAATCTCCTATCATGTTCCAAAGCATTATGTGTGTATTCAATCAAAGAAGTTAGGTTGTTTTCCAGAATTGGCTCTTTCCTAAAGGTCAAAACCTGCAATAAAAATGTCATGTATTATAGCATGAAGACATTGAACAGATTTGTTTCCTTCAGTTCCACAACTGATCCCTGAACACAAAGGTAATGTTTTCAAAATGATCCCAATCCTGCCAATGTTCAAAGAAGTCCCAACAGGAATATGATATTTTTAAAACAGAAATAACTTGATTATAAACACCTGTGATATGCTTTATTATCTGAAGCTTCTTCAAAGAAGTCAGATTAATATGTTTCTGTTTTCATTTCTCTTTAGGGCATTCACTTTCAAAGAGGTGTGAATGAGTTTATGTATGTAGATATCTGTGAAGGATTGGTAAAGGGGGACTTTTTAAGGAAAATATCAGAAATATAGTTTGTGTTTCTAAAACTCAAAATCCACACAATTTAAAAAAATTACTAAGACATAGGGACAAAAGTTAACTACCTTTTCCCTCAAATTGTCAAATGTATTAATAATTATTGAAAGTGCCATTATGTTAAATTTTAGTCTTTTGCCAAACCTGAGCGAATAATAACATTTCCAAACATTTCAATACATTACAGTTTTAACAATTTGAAATTTAGAATTTATTTTAAAAATAAACAAATATTTATAATAAATGGACCACTTCTAGATCACATAGTTTTTAATGTTTCCAAGTATAAATGAGATGTAACAATGTATATAAGTAGTTTTGTCATTTTGTTGCACCTTTCTGAATCTTAATGAGTAAGAGGCAATTTCTACATAGTATTAGAGATAGTTTTCTATATTTGAGTACTCTTAAAAATTAAGGTATCTTAAGTTTAGAAATTATAGAAGGAAAATAGTAAAAACCTAAATGTTAAATTTTAAACACTGTAATATAAGTTTTTAAATAGTAGTGAAACAAAAAAATACTAGATAATAAGGAACAAAAGAGGTTTGGATATAAAGATAAATTTTGAACCAAATGTGTGATTAAAAAAAAGGTGATTATTAAAAAAACCTTCAAATAGTAAAACTAAAATCTATTATAGCTTATTATTTATATTTAGAAACAACTATAAGTCTTTTCAGTGCAAACATTCTTTAGTCAAATGACAGGTTAAGTAAAAGTGTATTAAATTTCTCATAACTCAATTCGAAATAATTAAGTATAAAACTCCAATATGTATGTATGTATGCATTTAATATATTGATTCCAATGTTTGAAACTTCTTTTTCTAAAAGGAAGAGCCTTTAAATCATTTCTAATTCAGGAAAAACAAAAAAAAATCCTAGCCCCTTCCCATATCCTACCACAGTCATTTATATAAGCAAACAATCAGGTGATATATTCACAAATATTAGTAATATGATATTCTAAAATTAATGTTGTGACTTTCATTAACACAACCACTTTAAAATTCATTTAAAACTGTTACCTGTTATTCTTAAAATTAAATTCTCAATCTCACTTTCAATACTTATTTGAAATACAGTAGTATTTTATTACTGATTTCCTCTGGCCTTATGAGATTTTGGGCCACAAAATTTTTAAAAGTCTTAAGTTTTAGTTCTACTTATAGGCCGGCCAAAATTAGTTGCAAAGCACAAGCCTAAGTTTGTTCAATTAAAAAAAAAAAAAGACAAAACTATATCTATATTTTGACAATTCTTTCTAAGATGTGTGTTCTAGTTATAAATAGACCAATAACCTGTTTCTCCTAAAAGGGGTTAAAAATAAATCAATGTGGGAATTAAATGTCATTAAACAAAAGAAAAAAAAAGCAAGAGCCATTTTGGGTCAGTACTATTTTAAAATTAGAGACAAATTTACAATGTAATTGGTGAAAGCTTATGTGTCATATATCAGAAATACCTAATATTTCTGGGGAATTTTTTTCTTTTTGTAAACCAAAATCAACTGACCAATATTTTTGGATTGAAGTATTTTGTGACATCATGAATAGTTACTAAATACGAATAAATAAATAAATAAATAAAATATACACAAGACTTCATAAAACAAAACATAAGGGATCCAAAATATTACAACTACTTTGCAATTTTCATCCTTACTTGTCAATCCTGATAAACATTAAAACTGATATTAATCTGATTAGAAAACATGTAGTGTTACATACAAATACCTGAGGCTACATTTTGTAAACACACAATGAAGACAAGTTAACAGCATTAAAAAAAAGTCTAAAGTTAGACTTTTACTTGAATTTTTAAAAAACAGTATATAAATGGCAAATAAATGAAACAGGAAGGCTGGTACCTTTTCTTGTTCCCTTCTCCCCACAGTATGTAAATCCAGTATTGAAAAAAGATGAGCTATTGTAGCAGTACCATTTTCCATCATTTTTTTCTATGGTAGCAAATGATTTTTGTATTTCTTACAATAGCGCACATAAGCTCGCACACTCACAGAACTATCTTTTTATAGAAAAAAGGGATAACTGCATATAAACATTAAAAATACATACCAGTTGGAACTCATGTTCACAAATCTAAAACTAAAATCTTCCTCTTATCTAACATCACAAGAAGGGAAAATACTTCGAAGGCTGTGAATTTTAGTTAGGCACTAGTGTGTTCTAAAGCTTTAAGTATTTTAAAGAAAAGAATCCATCACTTATTTTAAAATCACACAAAACAATCCTTCACTCATCATCCTCAAAACAAACAAAATCCCATAAACCAAATCACTAAAAAAAAAAAAAAACAACAACAAAAAAAAAACAAGTGGCTAAACTTAATCAGACTGATGGAATTTAAAACCTCCCCAAAACACTCTACAAGTCACAATATTTGAATGAAAATTAAAATAAAAAAATCAGTAAAAAGTAAAACCTAACAGTCCTGGGTGATATAATTATATTTAAAACAGAAATGACATCTACAATTTCATTAAATCCAATTTTATAGAGGATGATTAATTCTTTTTATGAAATATTCATGAAATGATCCAAAATAAACACCTTTGAAAAAAGGTAATGAATATGGATGCATTCAGTTATCACAATTATTAAACTCAGCTACACCACTTATTAATGTAAATTATATTTAAAGTCCTACAGAGATTTGTCATGTTTTCATTTTAATATTTTCTAACAATACGTATTTTGAAAATGCAAACTATAAATTTCAACAACTATTCATAAAATTATATAAATGTCTGTTAAATTTTTAAAAATTCTCTTTAAAAACATCTACAACTGTTTATCAGCGAGTTTATAGCTTTTCTTTGAAAAACCACACCAACTCTTATCAAGATGCAATTAAATGGAATGACAAGTTTGGTAATAAATAGAAATATGTTGATGGCTGCCTCGAGCAACATTAAACAAAATCAACGAAAAACCAACCAAATAAAAACAACCACACTGCTGCATATATTTCTTTGTAATGAATTTATCAATGGAATGCAATAACATACGCACCTGTACATACTTACCTGTTGTATCATCTAACTTAAGAAACATTAATGTCTTGTAAATTAAAAATTTAAGTCTTCTACAATGGCTGAATTAGCTAAATATATATATATATATATATATATATATATATATATTAAAACAGAAGTTAAAAGTTTTAAATATATCCAATTCTTATGGGAAATGTGGAAAAGATCATGTAGCATTTTAAAAAATTAGTTTTTTCATCAAAATAAAAGAAACGATTCTCCTGTCATCTGCATCCAACAATTACAAGTAGTTTAAGATGAAACTTTTTTATCAAAAGAAAAAAAACCCCAACACCACAAAAACCTAAATCCTTCACTCAGTTTTTAACCAATAAAAAACAGGGGCAAATATATGTCTTGCAATTTCTGTCAGCAGAAATTCAGTTTTGCGAAAATAGCCTCTTCAGTTTTACTTTTCATATACATTTCAGAGCCACCCGAAAGCCTTTAGTGGGAGAAGAAAATGTTAAACACCAATTTTTATTTAAATTCCCCGTTTTAACGTTTTCTAACTATTTCCATGGTTCTCCAACTAAAAGTATAATTTTTCAGTAGGTCGAGAATTATAATCCAGAGTTCAATATTCAAACCCCCCAGTCCCGCTTCCTTCCAGCCAATCAGGGGATAAGAAGTCGGGTGTTTGGGGAGCTCCGTTAAACAGTTTGAAAAACATCACATTGCTCTATCCTATTCTCCATCGGGAAAGGTTCTAAGCGAGGGCGGGTCCCTAATCTTCATTGAAATATACGAAATCAATCGTTCTATTAATTACAGAGGGGAAAACTTTAGGCTGGCTGTCCTAAAGTGATACTGCGGTTCCCAAGAAGTTTTATTCCTCTTTGCAAATAACTGAATAGCTGCTACAAAAATCATCTCCAGAATATTTGCAACCCAGTGCGCGGCGCGCCCCACACGCAAAACATCACACAAGCAAAGGGATTTTAATCTAAGTGTGCCTCATTGTGGAAAAAGAATTCAAGATCTAATAGAATTTTTACAGAAGTTATTATCTCTAAAGTATTACCTAAAGTTAAAGCCGTCAATGGCTTGCTTTATTTAAGAGCTGTCGACTAGAGGTTGATAAAAACAAATAGATAAGGGGGAAAAAAACACTGAAGGGAAAGACCAACAACCCCTCTCTCCTCCGCCTCAGTTCCCAAGAAAAGGTGGGGATTGCAAAATTACCGTTAAGTTGCCCTGGTAAAGAGTTTTCCGGAGAATACCAGTATGGTTTCACAGATTGCTTTTTTCCCCTTCGGATGTTTCAAGGACTGGAGAAGGAAAAAGTCTTCTAAGAAGAGTGCGACTTAGAGAAGGAAATAGTCAGGAGAAGGAAATTGCTAGCTCGCAGCCCCATCTTTCATCTCACCCCCAACACCCCTCCCCCTCGAGGAAGGACAACGTCGCGAGAGTAAATAACAAAAATCCGAGCCAGAAGCGAAAGTCCCAGCATCTTTGCTAGGAGCCCGCTACCACCTCCGAAGCCTGCCCCGACCGCCCGGAGCCCTGCTCGCGAGCTCGGGGCGCGGCAGTCCGACCCCTCTCTAAAAAGACCGCACCGGGACGTCGCGCGGGGGGAGCGCGGCCCGGGCTGACTCCTTCCTAGGGCACCTCACGTTTAAGCGTCAAAAGACGACAACATGCATGGCTGGGTGCCGAGGACTAGGCGGGGGCACTATGGGCCACCACCCACCGAAGGCACCCGTACTCTGGGTCCTGAATTTTCCGTCGACTCAAGTTTCTCGTTAGAAGACGGCCTTCAGCGGACAGGGAAAACTACGGGAAAAGGCGGCTCGGTTCGGAAACGGGGGAGGGGCGCGCGTCCCCTCCTGTCAAGGAGTCGCGGCCCTGCCGAGACCCCGCGGCGCCCTGTCCCCGGCCCCGGGCGGGGGGTCTTGCTGACAGGTCGGCTGGGCGGCGGCTGCTCGGCCGCAGCCGTCCCGGTCCCGCTCAAACTACAGCTCCCCTCCCCCCCAGCTCCGTCTCACCGCGCTCCCGCCACATTCCGCCGCCACCGCCCACTCGCAGGCGCCCAAGTCACCCAAAATCCTATCTCCTGGAATTTTTCACGTTTAAAGTGAGGGTTAACCCAGCGCCCACTCCCTGGACTCCTCAACGCCTGCCGGTCCCACCACTGCCACCTTCCGAGTCCCGTTCTACTTCAAGCTCTTACCCACTGCGTCAACCCTGGCGAAGCTTCGCGRATTGTCTTTTGCTCCAAGTTATTTTTGGTGATTTTTTTTTTTTTTTAGTGTTTTTTCGGCGGAGCGCTAGTGGTACTATACTTTCAGACAGGTTATCCCGTCTCTCCCGCTAGATTGATGAGATCAGGCATCACTCGAAAATGGCGCCGAAAGCGCTGAGGCTCTTCATTCAAATTCGTTAGAGCCAACCCCGCCGCCCCGGGGCATGCCGGGAACGCGGGCTGCCTCCACAGCTGTCAATACCACCTCTTACCACCMCCTTGTCCCGACATTTGCGCATGCGTAAACTCCTACCCTCATCCCCTCCCTTACACACACCTTGTACATGCGCAGACGCATGGTTGTTCGCAGCTCACACTTAGCTTCCTCCGCTGCCGTTCTCTTGCGGCTTTTCTTGCGCGTGCGTGCATCGCCTTTGTACGGCCGTGGACTGGAGTGACCTTACAGACTGTGGGCCCGAGAGTCCACAGATGCTTGTCAGGAGACAGGCAGTCAGTCTACCGTTGGAGGTAAACAAATTAGGGTCCAGCTTAGGCTAGAAGAAAAACGTCTTGCTAAACTACGGACAACGGAATGTGCCTCTTGAGATCATGTGTTGGATACACGTGTACTTAAAACAGCCCCGCCGCTGTGTAGAGCTCTTGCTGTAAGCCAGAGCTTTATCAGAGCTATTGCACTTAAGCCACGGGACAGCCTCACGAGGTAGGAACTGTTATTATTCTCGGTTAAGACCAGGAAACCAATGATTGGGAACGTTAAATAATCTGCCGGAGGTAGCACAGGTACCAAACACGTGGATGAGTCCGCGTCTGTCAGATTCTGGAACTCGGGCCACTTAGCACTGTAGGATCCAATCCGAGTACACAGGAGGCGTGGTTTTCCGTCCCCTGTGGTGTGTGTGTGTGTGCGCGCACACGCCCCAGCCTGGAGTTAATGATTACTTAAGTTTGCTGGAGCCCTTCTCCTCCCTAGGGCGCTTGTTACTAAGCCATTTTCATCAAATCCAGTTTTTCTTACCACCTTACTTGTCCGTAGACTTTCAGTTCTGTTTTGGAGATAGGAATGGGCAGTCTTTGGATGTCATTTAGAATGATGTTTTTATAATGGCGTGTTAAATTACTGAATCCAGCAGAGACGGGTTCCCGTTGTGCAACGCAACGCAAAAAAAAAAAAAGTAGTAAGTCACCACGTATTGACTGTACTCCTCATTGTGCTGAAAAAACGCTTTCTGGATTAAGCTCCTTTATTACTTAAAACAGCCCTATGAAGTAGATATTATCATCATTTTGCAGATTATGACATACACTCATATTAAGAAATCTGCCCCAAAGTCTTACAACTAAGTAGAAGTAAAGACTCATGCAAACCCGTGTCCATCTTCAAAAACTGGACGCTATGATAGGACAATAAATGATACTAAAATTGTCAATATTTTAATATCTTCCTTAAAAATATCATCTAATCATTTTCTTGGGAGATTTATCATACTTGACATCAAGCTGGTTAAGATGAAACAAAACCAACTAACTGTTCTTATGATTGTATTTTAAGATTATTGTTGATTGCCTACTTTTTCCTTAAACACAAAGTGGATTGATTTTTTTTTTTTTTTTTTTTTTTTTTTTTTTGAGTGAGACAGGGTCTACCATATCGTCCAGGTTGGCCTCAAAATTTGGGATCTTCTTACTTAGCCTCACAAGTAGCTGGGATTACAGTACTGGGCCATGGTGCCCAGCTCCCAAAATGGATTTTCTAAGGAATCCAGCAGTCTAAAATCTGGGATATTAACTTTTTTTGTCCCAGTTTTTGTTATAAGACAATTCGAGATGAACTATAACTGAGTACAAAAACACATATCCCATTATTGTCAGGGTTGAATAAGACAATGAGTATGACTACCTGAAGTACAAAGAAGTAAGGAAATGGGAGAAGGCTAGCATGGTTTGTATTATTGAGGTATATTTGGAAAAAGAAATGGCTTTTAGCATTTTCAAATTATCAACAATTAACATGGCAGAGTATATTTGTCTTATCTCTCTCTGACACTTTTATGAACTATTTAAGTGGATCAAATCTGAAGCCAAACTTCCTGAGTTTGAATCTCCATTTTGCACCTTTTGTAGAGGTGGCTTTCATATTTAAGTCTCATTTTGTTTAAAATATTATTTAACAAACCAGAAATCTTCCACTAAAGCTTCTTGATTTGCTAAAATAGGAGGAACAATTCCTGTTCTTGAACAAAAAGTCCAACTGGGAAAAAAAAAAAGATCTTTCCAAAGCTAAGAATTTTATGTTTGACCACAAGGGGGTGCAAATTCCTGAGTTAAATCTCAAGGGGGAAAAAAAGGGAGGGGGGAGCCTTTTACTTCAGACTATTAAACTCATGGGTAAGAAATTAGTAAGGATTATCTGCCCAGAATTTAAAACTCCAAAAAAATCATATACTTTATGAGAAGAAAGAACTCTGTAAGCTTAAGTTTTCAGCATTCTTTCTTCAATACAGTAAGAGTTAATCAATCATCTCTTCTCTACCCCTTTCTGCCCTCCCAATTTGTGTCTCTGCATATGCTTCTTGTCATAAGAACTGAAGTCATAGTTTAAAATCTGGGCTTTAATTCTGCAAACTGGATTGCAATCACCAGCAAATGAATGGTAAATATGGGTAGTGTGGAGAATAGAAGTTTTCAATTTCTGTACTCCCTACTCCCTACTATTTTCTAATAAGTTGAATACAACTGATGGAATATTAGCTTCAACATATTAACGTATTTGGATAAAACTGTGAAAGCTGTAGGTCTGTTCATTTTTTTAATATTTATTTTTTAGTTTTAGGTGGATACAATATCTTTATTTTATTTTTTGTGGTGCTGAGGATTGAACCCAATGCCTCATGCATGCTAGGCAAGCACTGTACCACTGAACCACAACCCCAGCCCAGTCTGTTCATTTTTTTTTTTAAATGGATACCCTTAAAAGAAGAAAACAGTCATATTTTTTATTTATATAAATAAAAAATAAAAAAATTAAAAGAAGAAAACATTCTAAAAAATAACTTGAAAACAATACATACTAGTGAGCATTTTGAAAACAATCTGTTTAGCAGAATTTTTAAAGTTCCTTTTACTTTCATGTTGGTCTTGTTTCTCTGAAGTAGACTCATTTTTTTGAACCTTTTACATTGGTAATAATTTCAAATTTTCAAAAAATTTCCAAAAATAAAAATAGTTTTAAAAATCTATATAATTTGCTTGCTTTTATACATGGGTGAGTTCTTTCTTTTCATATATATGTAATTTTATATCACATTTTTTCCTCAACCATTTTCCATTAGGCTATAAGATTCTGGCCCCTCACCCCTTCATAAATTTACACTGAAACAATACTTTATTATCCATATTCAAATTTGATAAGTTGATCCTTTATAGCATATCCCCCTCCTTTACCGGATCCAGTCTTAGGTTCTGCACCAGTGGTCATATCTCTTTAGCCTCCTTTTCTTTATGAAACTTTCATCTTTTGATTCATTGTCTTATGACTTTGACATATTTGAAGAAAATTAACTTATTTAGAACATTTAACTTAATATTCAGCTTCTCCCTCTACTCTCTTTTTAGTTGAATGTTCCTCATTTTGTGTTTAATGTTTCCTCATGACTGGATTGAAATTATGCACTCTCATCTGGACTATTGCATAGGTAATATTGTCTCCTCTGAGTATCTCATTTGGAACCACATGATATCCATCTGACTTTCAGTGATGATTTTAATTTTGATCACTTCATCAGTATGGGATTTGAATTTTTCATTGTGTAGTTGTTTTTTTTTTTTTACTTACTGGCAGTAAATAAGCAATTTGTGGGAGAGATTTGTGGTGTTATATACTGATCCTCATCAAAATCTTCCATAATATTTAGCATCCATTATTGCTGATATAATTTTACCATTATAGTTACAAAATAACTGAGCAAAGTTTAGTATTGCCTCCTTATTTGAAGCCCATGACATTCTATTGCAAGTAGAGTTCTTTTTTATTTATTTATTTACCTATTTATTATCTACATGAACTTATGAATTCCTATGTATTCCCATTTCTGTGTTTGCTTATTCTTGTTTGTGCCATCTCTGTTTATATGTGCATATTTATGTACAAAAATTTTTTGAGCTGGCTGCGTGGCCCAAGCCTATAATCCTAGTGGCTCAGGAGATTGAGACAGGAAGATCACAAGTTCAAAGCCAGCCTCAGCTAAATATAAATGCATGCTAAATATAATGGAAGATTTTGATGAGTATAGGGATATAACATCAAAAAATGTTTTTGAGCCACTTGAGGGTAAGATACCTATATCATGGTCTCCATTCTAGTATAACTGTGTGTTTAGTTATTTTGATGTTCAAGTTTTCTTAGATTTAGCTAGTAGAAGTTCTTTCTCCTTTGACTTTTTGACATGTCCACACCATTTTTTAGAGCACTTCCTTACTTTCTGGTATTAAAAAATATTCTACATTTATCTTATACTTATCCTACCTCGGTCCTAGAATTAGCCTTTTTTCTAAGGAGTTCCGTTTCCTGTTAGTGGAAAATAATATTAGGGACCAGAACTAGGTGGGTTCATTGCTATACTGAGGTGTCTTTGCTTCTTGGACCTTTTGGGACACAGATCTAAAAATATATACATGTATGTGTACATGCATACAAATATACATATACAAGTATATATAATTAGTTCATGACACAGATTAAATTAATTAATTTACTTGTGGTACAGGGGATTGAAGGCAAGGTTATCTACCACTGAGCTACATCCTATCCCTTTTAAACAAAAATTCATTTTGAGACAGGGTATCACTAAGTTGCCAGGTTGGCCTTAAACTTGTGATCCTCCTGCCTCAGCCTCCCAAGTCACTGGGATTACAGGTGTTTGTTAGTGTACCAGGCTAATTTTTAATTATTTTAATTGCAATTAAGAAGATATATCAATAATATATAAAGTTCTGAGTAAAGGAAATAACAATCCATATATTTTTCATGATCCCTTTTAGTAAATGTCTATTCATTTAATTTTGTAGAATCATAGTATGACGTAATTTTCTTAACCTTTTTTTCATTTCACCTAGCAAATGTTTGAATTACATCATTTTCACAATCTTCATTTATATTGCTGTGCTACATATCATTCAGCAGATTCTACCATTCTTCTATTCCTGTTTTTTTTCCATTTTTTGCTACCATAACTAATTCTGATGTGAACATTTGTGCATACCTTTTGTCTAATTTAGATTCTTATCAAATGATTGGAAGATTTCCCAGAAGTACAAATATTCTTTCTCAAAATATTGGTATATGTTTATGGGTTTTAATATATCTTGCCATGCAAAATTAATCAAACATTTACCAAAGTCCATACCAGAATTAGATATAGATATGAAAATATATAGTTTCTTTTAGCAAGGAGCTGAATGTCTAATGGAAGAAAGATTTTTCTAAAACATTATACTTCAATAAATAAAGGAAGACCATTTAGCCCAGTTAGAAATAGGTAGCTCGAGAGGAAGTTTTTCGATAGGAGGTGACAGTTGTTCTGTGTCTTGAAGGACACCTCAGCAGAGCCTTAAAGGATTGAAATGAGTTATCCTAGTTATAGAAGAGAAAGAAGAAGTAGGCCAAAGAAAGCATTTWAAACAGAATCACTGGAATGTTAGGAA